ACCCCTCACACGTTTCGTGGCCCCATAGAGAGCTCCACCGAAGGCCCCAGTGGCAGGGCCCGCATGCCTCCCCACCACCCATATCGACACACCCCTCACACGCTTCGTGGCCCCATAGGGAGCCCCACCGAAGGCCCCAGTGGCAGGGTCCGCATGCCTCCCCCGCACCCATTTCGGCACACCCCTCACACTTTCGTGGCCCGTAGGGAGCTCCACCGAAGGGCCCCAGTGGCAGGGTCCGCATGCCTCGCCCACACCCATTTCGGCCACAAGACACCCCCGCTCACAAACGTTTTCGTGGCCCCATAGGGAGCTCCACCGAAGGCCCCAGTGGCATGGTCCGCATGCCTCCCCATTACCCATTTCGGCACACCCCTCACACGTTTCGTGGCCCCATAGGGAGCTCCACCGAAGGCCCCAGTGGCAGGGTTCGCATGCCCCCCCACCACCCATTTCGGCACACCCCTCACACGTTTCGTGGCCCCATAGGGAGCTCCACCGAAGGCCCCAGTGGCAGGGTTCGCATGCCTCCCCACCACCCATTTCGGCACACCCCTCACACGTTTCGTGGTCCCATAGGGAGCTCCACCGAAGGCCCCCGTGGCAGGGTTCGCATGCCTCCCCACCACCCATCTCGGCACACCCGTCACACGTTTCGTGGCCCCATAGGGAACTCCACCGAAGGCCCCAGTGGCAGGGTTCGCATGCCTCCCCACCACCCATTTCGGCACACCCCTCACACGTTTCGTGGCCCCCTAGGGAGCTCCACCGAAGGCCCCAGCGGCAGGGTCCGCATGCCTCCCCACCACCCATTTCGGCACACGTGGCCCCATAGGGAGCTCCACCGAAGGCCCCAGTGGCCTGGTTCGTATGCCTCCCCAACACCTATTTCGGCACATCCCTCACACGTTTCGTGGCCCCATGGGGATTTCCACCGAAGGCCCCAGTGACTGGGTTCGCATGCGCCCCCACACCCATTTCGGCACACCCCTCACACGTTTCGTGGCACCATAGGGAGCTCCACCGAAGGCCCCAGTGGCTGCGTTCGCATGCCGCCCCCACACCAATTTCGGCACACCCCTCACACGTTTCGTGGCCCCTCAGGGAGCTCCACCGAAGGCCCCAGTGGCTGCGTTCGCATGCCGCCCCCACACCAACTTCGGTTCACCCCTCACACGTTTCGTGGCCCCATAAGGAGCCCCACCGAAGGCCCCAGTGGCAACGTTCGCATGCCGCCCCCACACCCATTTCGGCACACCCCTCAAACGGTTCGTGGCCCCATAGGGAGATCCACCGAAGACGGTACTCACACCAGCATTACTCACAATTGCATATGGTTGGGTCCTTCGCCAGGCTAATTTTTTTGGGGGGGGCGCCAAGAACAAAAAACAAATCCTGGAGAAGGAGGAAGAAGAGGAGGCGGAGTAGGAGGAGTAGGAGGAGGAGGAGGACGACACAGAGCAGAGTTTGCAGAGAAACAGTCGCGAACTCAGCGCGAAACCCTCGCGCGCGCGCTGTGGAACCCCTGCGACTCCACAATCCCCCGTTCTCGAGGAGGAGGAGGAGGAGGAGGAGGAGGAGGAGGAGGAGGAGGGGGAGGGGGAGAAGGAGATGGAGGAGGAAGTGGAGGAGGAGGAGGAGGAGGAGGAGGAAGAAGACGGGTCGCCCAAGCCCTTCGGAGAAACCCTCCACCGATGCCTCGGCTGATCTCTTCCCGCGGCCGCATCAGGCATTTGACGATTTTGCGGAGACCTGCTCCGCGAACCCGGCCCCGATGACCAAGCCGCCACATGGCTCGGGCGCCAGCGCCGACGCTGGCCGGGCGAGGTGGCCTGGGCACGCCGCGCACACGGCGCCCGTGGGGGCGCGGCCAGAGGACGCCGCACTGAAACCCCAGCTGGCCTGGGAGGGGGCGACGGCTGGGCGGTGTCTTCGAGAGGTTCTCGTCCCCACAGGGCCCGCCCGGCAGAGCCGTGCACGCATGTGCCATCAGAGGGCGCGCAAACACGCCCCAGAGCCACAGGGGGCCAATCCTCCTCCTCCTCCTCCTCCTCCTCCTCCTCATCCTCTTCCTCCTCCTCTCCTTCCTCCTCCTCCTCCTCCTCCTCCTCCTCCTCCTCCTCCTCCTCCTCCTCCTCACTCCTCCTCCTCCTCCTCCTCCCCTCCTCCTCCTCCTCCTCCTCCTCCTCTCCTCCTCCCTCCTCTCCTCCTCCTCCTCCTCCTCCTCCTCCTCCTCCTCCTCCTCCTCCTCCTCCTCCTCCTCCTCCTCCTCCTCCTCCGTCCTCCTCCTCCCTCCCTCCTCCCCTCCTCCTCCTTCCTCCTCCCCTCCTCCCTCCTCCTCCTCTCCTCCTCCTTCCTCCTCCTCCCCTCCTCCCCTCCTCCTCTCCTCCTCCTCTCCTCCTCCTCTCCACTCCTCCTCCTCCTACCCTCCCCAACCACATCTCGCAGCTGACGGCCGTTGGCGCTGTCCTCTGGCAGGTTGGCAGGTGGGCCAAGGTAGCCTCGATGCCGCCTCGCGGAGCACCTTCGGCATCCTTGCATCCTCATCCTCCTGTTCCGCCCGCTCCTCCCCCTCCTCCCCACCTCCTCCCCTCCTCCTCCTCCTCCTCCCCCCTCCTGCCCCTCTCCTCCTCCTCCTCCTCCTCTCTCCCCCTCCTCCCTCCTCCTCCTCCTCTCCTCCACCTCCTCCCCCTCCTCCCCCTCCTCCTCCGCCTCATTATTCCTCCTCATCCGCCTCATTCGCCTCCTTCCAACTCCTCCTCCGCCTCCCCCCCTCCTCATCATCCTCTTCCCTACCGCACGGACGAAGATAAGGGCGAGTTCACGACCCGCCTCAATTCAGACCACTCGCCAAACTGAAGCGGGACGTGAGCTCGACCTCTCCCCTACCGCGCGGACGAAGACGAGGTCGAGTTCACGACTCGTCCAGGTCCAAACCAGTCGTCGGAATTGCGCCCTTCATACACTCACTCTCCTTCCTGACGCGCTGTTGCACAAGCGCGGTGGCGGATGTGTGAGGCAAGCAGTTTGCTATCTAACTCTAGATCTATACATACATACATACATTTCTATATCTGATATATAAATATACACACATGCACGAAGGCGCACACGCACACGCACACGCACACGCACGCGCACGCGCACGCGCACGCGGACACGCACACGCACACGCACACGCACACGCACACGCACACGCACACGCACACGCACACGCACGCACGCACGCACGCACGCACGCAAGCACACACGCACACACACACAGACAAAAACACACACGCACACACACACAGACACACACACCCACACATGTGCATTAAGATGTATACACACATACTCAGATACACATATCCGCCGCCGTGCCGCTGGGCAAGGAGTGGGCGTGTGCTCAAGTCATCTCACTGCCCCGCTTCGCTCATGAAGAGCTCTTACGTAAAGGACCCGGAGCCTCTCGGGCCAAACCTTTTTGTGGCGGCCCGCGGTTCCACCGCGTCTTGTCGCATGACTGCTCCGGGCCCAAGAAGGCCCCGAGCCGCCGAACGATTACTCCAAGACGCTCAAGATGGCCCCCAGACGGCCCAAGAGGCCTCCACGACAAGAAGCCTCAAATTGGCCTTCCAGGAGGGCCCCAAGAAGCCACAATCATTGGTTCTCCATAGGTGTTTAAAAGGAGTCTGGCGGTCTCGCCTTTTCGGCTTCCCGACGCTCCCAGACGGCCCTGGAGGCCCCCAAGACCGCCCCAAAACGGCCCAAGAGGCCCCCAAGAGCGCCACAAAACGGCCCAAGAGGGCCCCAAGACAAACCCCAAGAGGCGCCCGAAACGGCCCAAGAGGACCCCGAGACGGCCCCCAAAAGGGCCTAACAGAGGGAGCACGAACCGCCCAAAATGGCCTCCAAGACGGCCCTGGAGTACCCCAAGAGGGCCCTGAGTCGGCCCAGAGAGGCCCCAAGACGGCTTCCAACGGCGTCAGACGGCCCAGGAGCCCACCAAGACGGCCCAAAATGGTTCCAAGATGGCCCAAGACGGCCAAAGAGGCCCCAAGAGGTCTCCAAGACGGCCAGAGAGGTCCTCAAGAGAGCTTCCAGGAAGGCCCGAGAAGACCCAAACCAATGATGGTCCATTGGTCTTTGGGTGAGTTTGGTAGTCGCGTCTTTCCGGCCTCCCGATGGCCCGAGACGGCCCAAGAGCCCCAAAACATCGCCCCAAGATCCACCAGGAGGCCTCCAAGATGGCCCCAAGAGGGCCCAAAAACGGCCAAAGAGGCATCCAAAACCCCCAAAAGGGCCCCCGAGACGGCCTTGACACCCCAAGATCGTCATCGTCATCGTCAACATCGTCTGCAGAAGCATCATCATCAACGTTCGTCGTCGCCGTCAGTATCGTCAAACTCGTCATCGTCCGCATCGTCGCCATCATCAGCGGCATCATCATCACCATCCGCATCAGCAGCATCAGCATACGCATCATCACCATCATCATCATCACCACCATCATCGTAGTAATCATCGTCGGCATCCTCGTAGCGTCACCTGTGATGCCCTCGTCATCATCATAATCATCATCATCATCATCATCATCATCATCATCATCATCATCATCATCATCATCATCATCAGCATCAGCATCATCGTCGCCATCCTCATCATCCGCATCCTCATCCTCGTCATCATCATCATCGGCATCATCATCATCACCATCATCAGCATCATCATCATCAGCGTCATCATCGCCATTCGTTGTCGTCGTCGGCATCGTCAGCATCATCAGCAGCAGCAGCATCGGAATCATCATCAACAGCATCATCAGAATCGCAATCATCATCCTCAGCATCATCGTCATCGTCATCGTCTGCATCATCGTCATAATCGACATCATCATCAGCATCAGCGTCAGCATCAGCGTCAGCATCAGCATCATCATCAGCATCAGCATCAGCATCATCAGCATCATCATCCGCATCATCCGCCCAAACATCATCAACATCAGCACCAGCACCGTCCGCCCGTCCTCCTCCTCCTCCTCCTCCTCCTCCTCCTCCTCCTCCTCCTCCTCACTCCTCCATCCTATCCCTCCCTCCCTCCCTCCCTCCCTCCCTCCCTCCCTCCCTCCCTCCCTCCCTCCTCCTCCCTCGCTCACCAAGGGGGGAGGGGAACCTGGAAGGCGCCCTCCCAGGTCCAGCACAGCGTCCGCAGCGCCTCGAGGCCGCTCGCCTGGGGGGGGGGGCCCAGGGCATTGCCACGACCGCCCCCCCGACGAGCGGCCACATCGAGAGCGGCTCAGGAACACAAGCCCCTTCGCTGGAGGCCTGGAAATCGGCACCAACACCAACACAGGGGGTTGCCTTCACAGGGGGGAAGATGATCCTCGATTTCGGTGCTGGTGGCAAGACTTCGGCCACCTGGGAAGCCAGAATATTACCACCATCACCGAGATCGGGATCTTCTTCCGCCGGTGGAGGCACAACACCGATATTGGTGTTGGTGTCAACCTCTAGGCCTGCGACCTTCGCCGAAGGCCCAGGGTCCCACGGAGGTGTTTACAGTGGAAGGCGTTGCCAGGTGGCGGGCCCCACCACGCAGAACGCACGGCGTGGTGCCCGCTCCCAGAGAGCTGCGACAAGTTCGTGTCGTGACGACCTTCGCGTTGGCCCCCGACACCGCGTGAAGCCGCGTGGATCGCTCAACCTTGATCGATCGGCGACTTCTCAATCGCCAAGGCGGCGATCGAGAAGTCGCCGATCGACCCGACTCTGGGCCACTGGCGGCGCTCGATCCGGAACGCCCGCGGCGGGGTCGCCGCCGAGCCAGCACGACGCGAACATGCCATACCAATAAGACCACGCTCGAGGATGTCCAAGATGTCCATAGCAACCACGATGTGGCGTCAACACCGCTGATCTGCGGAATCGGAGGGCGGACGCGCGCGCAGGCCAGAAGAAGGAGAGGGGGGAGAGGAGGAGGAGGAGGAGGAGGAGGAGGAGGAGGAGGAGGGGAGGAGGAGGCGGAGTCCCAAGAGCTTGGGGGCGAGCCGAGAACGTGCCACGGTCTCCCTGCTTCCGTGCCGCGGGCCTGCTCCATTTCGGCGCGATTGGGGGGCAACCAGCACCAGAGTAGGGCCCCGTGCTGCGCTGCACGCCGACGCAGTTGCGTCAGCAGACGGCGCAGCTGCACCCTTCGTTTGGATACAGATACGGAGGGCCGGCGTCACGCGCTGCACAGTCCTGCGCAGCGAGCGGTCGGAGCCGGTGGCAGGCGGGTGCGCAGCGGCAGGGCTCAAGCCCCAGGATGCAGTGGTGGCTTGCATTGGAGGAGGGTCAGGGGGACCAGAGGAGGCTCCGAAGGACAGGGCAAACGAGGCAGGGAGGGAATGAGTACACGTCGTTCATTTCTAATCGTGCTCATTTCTAATTGTGTTCGTTTCTAATGGTTCCTGGCCCCCTAGTGGCCAGGAAGAGGCCCAGGATGGAACAATCAGAAATAAAAGGATCTTGGCCGCCCCAAAAAATTAGAGAACTTTCGAAGAATTAAACAGGAACCATGTGTATGGCTGCCGACGGCACCTGGGAGCGCAGGAGCGAGGCGCGAGGGCGTGCCATGCGACCTGTCGGCGTCCAGCCGCGGCGCGAAGGGTCTTAAAAAGCGGCCCAAGACGGCGGTTCGGTCGGACGAGCCTCGGACTTCGTCCTCCTCCTCCTCCTCCTCCTCCTCCTCCTGCTCCTCCTCCTCGTCCTCCTCCTCCTCCTCAAACTCCTCCTCAAACTACTCCTCCTCCTCCTCCTTCTCCTCCTCCTCCTCCTCCTCCTGCTCCTCCTCCTCCTCCACCTCAAACTCCTCCTCAAACTCCTCCCCCAACTCCTCCTCCTCCTCCTCCTCCTCCTCTTCCTCAAACTCCTCCTCAAACTCCTCCTCAAACTCCAACTCCTCCTCCTCCTCATCCTCCTCCTCCTCCTCCTCCTCCTCTCCTCCTCCTCCTCCCTCCTCCTCCTCCTCCTCCTCCTCCACCTCCTCCTCCTCCAAACTCCTCCTCCTCCTCCTCAAACTCCTCCTCAAACTCCTCCTCAAACTCTCCTCCTCCTCCTCCTCCCTCCTCCTCCTCCTCCTGTCCTCCTCTCCTCCTCAAACTCCTCCTCAAACTACGTCCTCCTCCTCCCCTCCTCCTCCTCCTTCTCCTCCTCTCTCCTCCTCCTCCTCCTCCTCCTCTCTCCTCCTCCTCCTCTCCTCCTCCTCCTCCTCCTCCTCCTCCTCCTGTTCCTCTTCCTCTTCCCTTTCCTCCTAAAACTCCTCCTCTCCCTTTTCCTCCTCCTCCCGGCCGAAGGCAGCCGACAGACGCCCCAGGACTCGATGCGTGTGCGAGGCGTGCCGAGAAACGTGGTGCTAAGTGCGGCACGGCGAAGCGCCGCCGCCGCCGCGCGCCGTGCTTGTGGGGCGGCGCGGAGGGCTTGTCGCTGCAGCCTCACGGATCTCATCGTGTGCAGCCTGGCTCGCGGCGGCCATTGCTGCACGCGTACACGAGGAGGGGGCGAGGGGAAGAGGCCTCCAAGAGGCCTCCAAGAAGCCCCAGGAGGCCTCCAAGGGACCCAAACCAGGCCCCAACAGGCCACGAAGGCCACCGAGAGGCTCCCAATACACCCCAAACCCGCCTCCAAGAGGCGTCGGGCACGGTTCCCAAGAGACTTCCAAAGGTACCAAAGAGGCGTCCGATCTACAACTCAGGCACGGTGGCTGGATTGCCCGAAAGCCACTACATATACAACATTATCAACCGTTCAGTCCCACGAACGATATATGTGTTGTGAACGAACCAACCGCGGAACAGCCACGGGCAACCAGAGAGTGCAAGAGCCCACTTTTGTGGGTCCACGCTGTCAGAAATATGTTTGCATGTTTGCCCAACACAATGAAAACCCAATGAGGCCACCATGCACCTTTCTGCATCCAAGAAGCCACCCAGAGGCCCCCCCGATCCACTTCGACCGCTCCCCAAAGACGGGCCCGAGGACGGCACAAGATGGCGCCAAGACGGCCCAAAAGGCCCCAAAGACTGCTGCGGAGACGTGCAAGCGCCTCTTCGACCTGCTGTTGCCCTTCGTCGCGAGCGCTCTGCTTGCCTGCGTGGACCACTTAGTGAAGAAGGCAAGACACGCCCCGTCCGCAGTCGGACAGATCCCAAAAGGCCCCAGGGAGTCGGCAGCGTGACGAAGTCCTGGGATCTTAACGACAGGAGCAAGGCGCCGACCTTGAAATGCGAAAACACTGCAGCGGAAGCACCATGCTTGAAAGATCGACAAGAGCCCCGGTTGTAGAACAACAAGTAAGAAGAAAGAGGCTAAGCAAGCAAGGTTGAAATTACAACCAAAACTGAGGGAAAAAACTGCGCGCAAAATCTGCAGAAGGGGGCGCCCCTCAGCACAGAGCATCAGCGGCGAAAGGAGAGCACTAGCTGTAAAGAGGGGAGTGCTGCACTGGGGAGAAGGAACGTATCAACCACCTCTGTGCCTCCGGAAGCAAGCCTGAGCGCGGAACTTGGTGGGTGCGGCCTGTGCCAGTCCTGGAGACCATATCCACCAAGGTCTTGATAAGCAACCACACCTCGGCTCTACACCTTTCTGAAACAGTCACCTCCCCCCGCGTCTACGATCGTCGCAGGAGCGTTTATTCCGAAACCTTTTTTTTCCACTGGGGTCGCGGCTTCCGTTGACGCTGGGGGCAGTTTGCGCGGCTCGCAGCTCAGCAACGCCATTCCGCGCAGACGGAGGCGCACGCGGGCACCCACAAGCGGGCGGCAGCTACTGGGAGAGACGCCCACAAGTGGCCATGCCAGACCATGGGCGCTCATAGGCGCGCGGAAGCACTGGCAAGCACTCCCGCGTGGTCACATCTTCCCAAAAGGGTCAGCAGCGAAAGCTTCCACGCGCGCCCACGCGCGCGCAACTGATCACAAAGCGCCCGCGGGCGGTCACAGTCGCGGGCGTGCGCCTAAAGGCGGCTACACGAGCGCAGAAAGGCCCGCCGAAACCTTCCCCGCTACTGCCAAACACCCACACATGGCCATACACCGCCCTGCAAGCGCTGGGAGGCCTCCTCCCAGTGTCGCCCCCAGGAAGCTCGCATGGTGAGTCTGGCGAGTGTTTTTCTGCTATGCCGGTCGCCCTCGGCATCCCAGCGAGCTCTGACACGGGACGCTTTCTGCAGACGACTGCCAAAGGCCCATCGACCCATCGGCCCAAATTGCACTGGCGATTAGGAGGGAGCCTGCGCGTGCTTCAATATGTACAAAAGTTAGGCCGCAAAAAAGGCCATCGCCAAAGACGTGCACAATAGATGCATGGGCCACTGTATTAACATGTACGCATTGGCCGGTATAGGTCACATCATTGAGAATAGGCCGCCATATGAAATATACAAGGATGGGCGGGCAAAGAAACATACATGCATAGGCCAGTGTAGAACGAGAGCGATGCACAAGTGTATCCAAACTGTGGTACAGCTTACTCGACCCTCCAAGTACGTTGCCTGCCTCTCGAGCACTGTCTTTTGGACGAGCATTGCCTCGCGGGGTGTTCGTGGGGCTTCGTTGGGCTCTCACGGGCCACGTAGGGCTCGCGCATCGGGCTTTCGTGGGGCTCCTGTGGGGCTCGCATGGGGTTCCCCGCGGGGCTTTCGCGGGACGTTCCTCGGGGCTCGCTCGGGGTCTCGCATGGCTCTCGTGGGGCTCTCGTCGGGTTCCCCCGGGGGCTCTCGTGAGGCTCTCGTGGGGCTCTTTGGGGCTCGATTGGGATCTCATCTCCCCTTGTCATCTTCCCCCCTCCTCTCCTTGTCATCTCCCTCCTCTCGTCAGGCTCTGTCGGGTTCCGTCGAGTTCCTCTCTCATTTTCTTATTCCGTTTGGGCTCCGTCGGGTTCTCGTCGGTGGGTCTTGAAACATTTTCGGACTCTCTTGGGCGAAGCCACTCGGAGCTCGCATCCAGAAGCCCACATGGCAACAACGAGGCTTCTCCAGGAGGGCGTCCACTACAGCCCAGTAGCGGACCCACTGAGGCCCCACTAGGGCGCCAACTAAGGGACCCACGAGGGCGCCCACTAGGGCCCCCACTAGGGCGCCCACTAGGGCCCCCACTAGGGCGCCCATTAAGGCCCCCACTACGGCGCCCATTAAGGCCCCCACTACGGCGCCCACTAGGACCCCAAGTAGGGCCCCACTAGGGCCCCCAGTAGGGCGCCCACTAGGACCCCCACTAAGGCCCCACCAGGGCGCCCACTAGGGCGCCCACTAGGGCCCCCACTAGGAGGTGACATATTAGGCGGGACTTCGCACTCGACTTCGCACTCGACTTCAAGCCAACTCGGCATGGCCACGAACCCTGTGACAGTCGCTTAATGAGGCGCTAATGGGGCGCTAGTGGGGGCGCGAGTGGGGAATGCAGTGGGGAGTGCAGTGGGGACCCCAAGAGCCCTCTGAATGCTCTGGGGCCCCTGGGGCCCTGAGGAGCCGGAGGAAAAGGAGGCAGGAGGAGGCAGGGGGAAGACGAGGACGAGGGAGGGGGGAGGAGAAATAGGATGCAGGAGGAGATGGATGCAAGAGGGGTAGGATGCTAGGCCGGTGCCCCCGGCGCACCCAGCCCAGGGTGACCTGCCACGGTCGCCCGCCGCCCCGCGGAGCTCGGCGCCCCCGGAGCCGCCCTGCCCCCTCCTCTGGGGGGGATGACGTACCCGCCGTCGCCCAGGTGCTCCAGCGACGGCGGCAATGTCACTCCCCCAGGGGGGGGGGGAGGGGCGCCCCCGGGCGCCACCCGCCCTGCGTGACCGGTCCCGGCCGCCCGCCGCCCCGGAACCCAGCGCCCCGGGGGGCGGCCGCCCCCCCCCTGGGGGTGGGGGCTCTTGAGGCCTCCACCGCCGTCTTTGAAGGGCCCGAAACAGCTCCGATGGGGGGGGCAAGAGGGCCCCGAGAGGGCCCCAAATGTGTCCGGTCGTGACACATCTCCAGGGCCCTCTTGGGACCGTCACGGGGCCTTGTTCGGGTCCTGATTAGCTATCTTGGGTGCATCTGGGGGTCCTCTTGGGGCCCTTTGGGAGTCTCTGTGTGGCCCTCCGACACCGTGAGAGCCCGACGAACTCGACCAGCGAACCCCACGAGACCGCCCCATGAGACCCGTGAGAGCCTAGCACAGCCACACGAGAACCCCGCGAGGCAATGCTCATCCAAAAGGCGATGCTCGAGAGAGGCCCTCTGCGTACATGGACGGCCGGGAAAACGTTGCCACATTCTGGATACACTTGTGCATAGCTGTCGTGCTACACTGGTCCGTGCATATCGTTTTCTATACCCGCCCGTACATGTATATTCATTGATGCTGGAATATGAGTCATGCTTTGTTACTATACTGGCCCATGCGTATATGTGTATACACCAGCCAAAGCATTTATTTTGACGTCTGTGGCCAAGGCCTCCCTCTACAACTTCACGTTCTTGCACGTGCTGGAACACGCTCAAGCTCCTTCATCAACAATTCAATATTCGTTGAAGCTCGATGGACCTCCGGCAGCGGTCTGCAGAAGACGCCCCTTGTCAGCGCGCGCAGGGATGCCGAGGGCGACCAGCAAGACTGAGAAACACTCGCCCGACTCACTACGAGGCCCCCTGGGCGCGACGCTGGGCGGAGGCCGCCGAGTGTCTGCGGGACGGTGCATGGCCACCTGCGAGTGTTTGAAACTGTCGGAAGGGCGTTGGCGGTCAACTTCCAAACCGCGCCAGAATAGAGACCACACGTTCAAGACGATTCCGCCGCTATAATGAAAAGCGCATGCCGTTGGGCATGCACCGGGCCCTGCCCCGCGCAACCGCCATGGCCGCGAACCATGTGAGCGAGATGCGCAACAATGGGCACACGCGCGCCCGCGATTCAGCCATCCCCATCGAGAAAGAGGGGGCCAATCCATAGGGCCCGGATCCAACAAAAACGGTAATGAACAACGGGGTGCAGAGCGCGAGTCCAGCGCGCGCCGCAAGAACGAAACCAACAAAACAAACAGGAGGTTAAAAGAGCATGAAAAAACGCCACTGTGTTTCAAACACAGGAGTAAGAGGTGCCCGCAGCCAGATGCACCCCAGCGGGGGTCCGACACCCCGGCGTCAAAAGGATAGGGCTCGCGGGTGACTGCAGAGTTGAACCACACCGGGCTTGTGGAGGAACTTCATTAGTAGACGATCGGAATGTGTCAAATATACTCGATGCTGTTTTGTTTATTAGCAAGGATTTCGAAACAAAGGGAACAGAAATACGACTCCAAAAAACAAACGACGGCCCACCCAACAAAAACAAACGGGGCGCGGGGGGAAAACGAAAAAATTGTAATTAGAAGACCGGTGGACGTTCCATCCAACTATCAGTCGCTATTTTTTGAGCAAGCTGGAAGATTAGTGGAACGCCCCCTAGCCCTCGGAAAACGTCCATGGATGTGTTGTTTGGCCCCCGTGCCTATCCGATGATGTCGTATGTTCGACCACCTTCCAGTTGTTTTCATGGATTATTGGGGTAATTTAGGCGTGGCGCAATAATCAGTCATGAAACTATAAGAAAATGCACACCTGTACCGACATCCGAGATTGCGCCCCTCGAGATGGCCCTACTCTGAACGCCCGAAATGAAGTCGGAAGAAATGGGCACGATGCTCAACCGCAAATGCTGTCAAAAACCGACAGCGGCCGCTGTTTATTTCTAGACCTTCACTCTCAACTGGGCAACGTTCGCGGCGACACCGACAGTGAGCCCTCTTCAAAATGGGCAGGCACTACTGTCGGTCTTCGCCACTCCCAGAGATCCGATGTCTTGACTGTTGCAGAGCGCGGTCCCAGAAGTCTCGACACTTTCCCTGGGACCGGTTCCCCATCCTGAGTCGTGTTATGACGGTCCCCGGGCCCAGCAAGGGCCCCCAAGGGCTGAAAACATCCGAAAGCCTCCGTCCTCGTTCCTGCTCCGTACCCACTTCGCTCGTCTTCGAACTGCTCTCGGTCTTCGCCCCAGTTCTATCTGTACCCGTGTCGATCGAACCGACCTGCGCACGCTCCAAATTGGAGGGGGGGCCGGCCTGGAGCCTCACGTCGAGCGGAAACCTCTGCATGGCCCCGAGCAGGGCCTCCCGCGCGGGCACGGGCCAGCTGCGCGAGGCCGCTCTACTCCTACACTACACTACTCTACTCTACTCTACTCTGATAAACTCTACTCTACTCTGCTCGGCTCTACTGTAATCTAGCCTGCTCTACTCTACTATAGTCGCCGCCACCGTGCCCTTGAGGCACGAGTTGGAGTGTTCGCAGGTTCCTTGTTGGATCCCCTGGAGCCTCAGTCCTCAATCCTGCGGACTCTTCAGGAAGTCCAGACTTCTGGGGCGCGTCCTTTGGCCCCTGGGGCCCGTCGCGTGGTGGCGCGCGACTTTCTCCAGACCCAAGAAGGCCCCAAGGCGCGCCACGAGGGGGTCCCAAGAGGCCCCAACACGGTCCAAGAACGCCCCATGTTGCCGAAATATTGCTCCAAGAAGTCCAAGGTGGCCTCAAGACGGCCCAAGGTGCCCCCAAGACGCCCAAAGGGGCCTCTAAGAGGCCCACTGAGAGGACCCCACGAGGCAAAAATCATGGACGTTCCTTGGGTGTTGAAGGAGTGTGGCGTTCTCGCCGTTTCGGCATCCCGACGCTCCAGGACGGCCCAAGAGGCCCTCAAGAGGCCCAGGAGGCCTTCGAGAAGGCCCTGAGAGGCCCAAGAAGGCTTCAAAACACGGCCCGGCAGGCACCCGAGACGGTCCTAGTGAGGGATCCGGATGGACATTTGAAGCTCTCGGTCCCGGGGAGGCCCCGAGGAGGCCCCAAGAGGCCGCCAAGAGGCCGCCAAGAGCCTCCAAGAAGCCCCCAGGGCCCCCTGGAAGCCCTTAGAGGCTCCCAAGAGGCTCCAAAGAGCCCCCCCCCCCCCAGAGGCTCCCAAGAGGCCCCAAAAATGCCCCCGAGAGGACCGAGGGCGCTCCGAAGAGACCCCAAGAAGCATCCCTGAGGACTCTGACCAACGACCCAGACACGGTGGGGGGATGGGACGAAGGCCATTCGATATCCGACTCTACTCTACCATATACCCTACGCTACTCTGATCTAGGCAACATTAACATGTGTTATCCTTCCCTAACCTACCCTACTATATTATACTCGACCCATCCCTACTCGCACTCACTAATACACTCCGTGTCTATACTACTCAAGTATCCTCGACTTTTCTCTACCCCAATATGACCAAACAGACAATGCGATAGTATGATGCACCCTACTCATACAATCATACCTAAACTACACTACTAAGTTTATGGTACGGTATGTTCTACTCCACGTCTGAGTGAGACGGTTGTTGGATGAGTGTTGGGACGCCGTCGGAATAGACACGGGAAGCCATTGGACTAAGAACACATGCGGATATAGAGGATGCAATGCGGATGATTGAGAACAACATGCGAATACCGAGGAAACCATGTGGATAGCAGAGGAAGCCGTGCGGATACCGAGGAAGCCGTTCGACTTGACGATTGCCAAGTGCAAAGTAGAGAGAGTATCAGAGATCAGTTCTCTATGGATGAAGGTAGAACTCTTACAGGTAGACCCAAGTTGAAGATATACGATTCAACATCATCATCCCCCTCTTCCTCATCAACAACTTCATCATAACCCCTATCAGCATCATCAGCAGCATCATCATCAGCATCGTCATCATCATCAGCCTCATCATCGTCATCCTAAGCATCAGCATCATCATCAGCATAAGCATCATCAGCCTCAGCATCAGCATCAGCATCTGCCGCAACATCAGCATACTCATCATCATCAGCATCATCAGCAGTAGTAGCATCATCGCAATCATCATCATCATCACCACCACCACCATTCATCGTCCATCATCCGACCCCATCGTCATCATGATCATCAGCAGCAGCAACATGATCAGAGGCATCAGCATCAGTATCACAACCATAATCAACATCATCGTCGCCACCGATGTTGCCATCAACATCGGCATCATCAGCATATGCAACACCATCAGCATCACCAACAGCATCAGCAACGCCATCATCATCATCATCATCATCATCATCATCAGCATCACCAACACCATCGTCAGCATCATCGTCAGCATAATCAGAATCACCGTCATCAGCATCATCAAAAACAGCATGTTCAGCATCGTCTGCATCATCACCACCATCATCGGCGTCATCAGCAGCATCATGGTTGTCGTCAGTGTCATCACCGTCCTCACCATAAACATCGTCCGAATCATCAGCATCTGCAGCATCCTAATCCTCAACATCAACATCATCAGCATCAGCATCGTAATCATCGACGCCGTCGACATCATCACAACTTTCAGCGTCTTCAGCATGATCATCATCAGCAGTGGCATCAGCATCAGCATCATCATCCGCATCGTCAACATCAACGTAATCGTTATCACCACTATCATTATCACAAGCATCATCCCCACCGCCATGATCTGCATCACCGCCACCATCATCATCATCATCATCATCATCATCATCATCATCATCATCATCATCACCGTCACCATCACCATTACAACCATCATCATCATCGTCATCATCACATGCATCATCATTTCCGTCATCAGCACCCAAATCATCAACATCAGCAGCATCCTAATCTTCATCATCACCATTCACCATTCATCATCATCATCATCAGTATCATCAGCAGCATCATCATCACTCGCCAGCATCATCATCACCATCATCAGCAGCATCATGAGCATCATCATCATCCTCATCATCGTCCTCGGCCTGGTCTTCGTATTCGTCCCTTCCTCCTCCTCATCCTCCTCTTCTTCCTCCTCCTGCTCCCCCTCCCCCTGCCGACTTGGTCTCCCTCCTGTTTCTCCCCTCCCCCCACCCTTTCCCGCCCGCCTTCCCTTCCCAACACGCCTCCGCCTCCCCCAAGTCGATTCCATGCTCTATTCTTGCCCTCATCCTCACCACTTCTCCCTCTCTTACACGTCTTTCGTCGTTGGGTGTGACAAGAACTGCTCGTGCGGCGCTTGGCCGTGGGAGATGCATTCGTACGCCTCGACATTTTGATCCACGCACTGCCTAAATGTCTGACGTTCCGTCCGTCCTCCATCCCCAGCCTCCACATCCCCTCCACCCTGGCCTGGCCACGGTGAAGGGGGGACCTCCTGGCGGCCCACGGATGCTGCGACGGGCCGCTTCGCGGCAGAGCCCCGCGACGGCTTCAAGTGGCCACGGAGGCCAAGACGGAGCCCCCATCACAAGGGTACTCCACAATTCGTAACCAAAGGGAGGGGATCACAACCCTCTCAGACGATCCATTGTTCACCCCGCCCAAACCAAGGATGACAAGGTCGCTAAATACGAGCGAGGGCATTTGCTTGCTGCACTGCACGTCGACTCTGATCCGAGGGTAGGGTTCAAATTGCGATGCCAAGTACAAATCTGAATGACACATTTGCGTAAGTACGGCCACTCTTCTGCCCAGCGGCCGCCGCCACTGTTGACTCCGACTCCGCCTCAACACAGTAGGGCTGTCAGGCTGCCAGTCAAGCAGAGCAGTGCAGGGCAGGAATAGCGCTGAGCAGGCACGGGGATGGGCAGGGAGGCAGTGTGGGAGGGGGAGGGCCGGGAGGCACGATGGGGGGGGGAATGGGGATGGGGGGGGGGACGCAGAACACACAGGCTCTCCCCTGAGATGCGACGCCGCGAGCAAAACATGCAACGTCACGAAAAGTCGGGATCGGAGCCCTGCATCAGGGCTGAACCTAAACGGTGTTTTGAGTGTTCGTTTTGTGTTCGCTCTCCCTCGCCTTTGTCTCGAATCCGCCTTTACCGCAAAACGAAGTCGAAACGAACACGGCCCACGAAATCACCAGAAACACACCGTTGAGGTCCAGCCCGATCAACCCGTGACGGCCCCAAGGGACCCCCCCCCAAGGGACCACCGCAGGACCTGGCCACTCCACCCCCCTGGAGGGCGCCCTCCCCGCACAAAGAGATCTCTCTCTCTCTCTCTCTCTGCGCTGTGCGCTGCTCGTCTCTGAAGGAGCCCTGGGACACACAAGCAAATACACGCAAAGAACAGGATTCCCCCATCTTTTCCCATACTTTCGGGGGTTCGGCCTTTCCCCCTCCCCCTTCCCATATTTCCCCATACTTTCTGGGAGGCGACGATTAATTGTGCCTGTGTGTGTTTTTGTTTTCCCTTCCGACATTCATCAACCCCTCTGGGGGCCACCGCCACCGGGGGGGGATGGCAGCAGCCTGATCGGACGCAAGTGCCAGCAGCCCCAGCGGCACAGCAGGGGCAGACATGGGCGCAGAGGCAGGCACGGCAGCAGGAGGAGCGGCACGGTGGAGAGAGGTCTCCCGGCCGTGAGGCCACCGCACTTCAGCACGTAGCGGAAGTGCGTCACGCAGCTCAGGGACAGCACGAAGCAGCCCTTGAG